TAAATATTTTCAAGCTCCAATCACCAACTGAACCAGTTTCGAGTCATTTTTATTTAATTTTTCCAACTTGTTAGCTTCGGACCGTTAGCTCAACAGGCCACGCCCCCAGAAGATTCAAACTCAACATGGCGCAAAAACAATAAAATGTTTGTTTACGAATATAAATTGATTTCTGGTATTTCTTACAGCTGACATTTACAAAATAATGTTTTACAAGGTTGGACTCCATTTGTGCAAACATTTACAAAGATTAAATTTCAAAGTTCAACTAATTAAAAAGATCAAACCTAACAAATAAAATGTGACATAAAAGTAAATAAAACAAAATATTTATCAGTGTACATTTTTTGTAATTGTACTTTAATAACCTTAAAGAAAAATTAAGTAAATTATGGATCAATAATCAATAGGATCAAAAAGGTCAAGATGACTGGTCTTTAAGAAATATTATTATAATTATTATTTCACAGAAATGCTTACATGTGAAAAAAGACAAATAATATTTTTACCATTTTTATTTATGTGTTCAGTTCCGAACGTGTTTCTAAGTGTCCATTAATGCTGCTTGGCACAATTATCTCTTCTTTACTTCTTTAATATTTTTATGTATTATTATGTTTTTGTTTCCATTCCATTATTTTCCTTCTATTATTTTTGCTTTTTCCTATTTTTGCTGCTATTTAATTTTCTAAATGGTACAAACTGAGTGTCCAGCAGAGAGCAGCATCCCTTCAGCTCCTTCAGTCACAGTTTTACATCAGATCAGAAAAACTACAGATTCAGTTTTTGTTCCTAAAACCTGCTGCGTTTGTAAAACAGCAGTGTGGACGCTGGAAAGAGGTTTGAGTTTAAACTCCTGTATCTGTGAGGCAGAACCCGATGAAGGCCCGTTGATGTTTGATGGTTCCTAAAAGCCTGCGAGGCCCGAAGGGCAGCGTAATCCCTGCGTCGTCTGCAGGTCTCCCAGAGGCAGATTACGGCGTGTGGATGAGTCGGAGCGACAGATGTGTCATCAGGTGAACCGGTCCACGTCCAGCTGCAGATTATCAGGCCTCGTGTGCAGCTGGTTCTGCAGACGCCTCAGTTTGCTGGTTTTACCCAGTTCTCAACGGGCCATAAGAGCAAACACCAACCGTTCTCCTCTAGCAGGAAACTCTAACAGCAAATAATGATAAAAATCTTCGGTGTCTGCTTCATTTTTATTAATATTACCAAATACAAAACAAACTTATTGATCTTTTTGAGTAATTCCCAAAATAAGAGATGAATACATACAGACAACAGGGTCCAGGCTGACGCTCGAACAGATCCTGAACTCTTTAAAACCCCTTTTGATGTTTGCTCATCATGATGCTTTTATTTTGGTGAACAGTGAAGGTTTTCCTGTGTGGATGGATCCAACATGAAGTGACTGAAGACGTCACATGTTGCATTGGAAGATAAAGAGCTTAGATCAGCTGCAGAGGATGATGATGCTTCATTTGCTGAAACAGTTGCGTCTGTGTGGAATCCTGGAAGATGAACGTTCACACGAAAAACATTTTGGAGAAATTGAACAGGAAAAGGAGAAGACGTTCTGCCCAAAGAGGAGATTTCAGTCTCTGTTCAGGTTTTAATCTCTGGATTTAGACAATAAAGTGTCAGAACAGAGATTAGGACGACACTGCAGGTTGGTGCTTCCTGTTCAGTGTGTGTGTGTGTGTGTGTGTGTGTGTGTGTGTGTGTGTGTGTGTGTGTG